AAGAAAAAACAAAACAAAACAACAACTTCAAAATGAACTTCATGAACATATTAAAGAGTGCAATTAGCACTCCTTTCAAAATGTTTGAAGAATACATTTGGAGCATTTTTTGAGAAAACTGTGTTTGAGCGTTTCTGAAAATGCATAATTTGGCGCTAGTTTTCACAGAAAATGTTACATGGCATTATTTAAAGTACATGTACACACACACGCACACACACACACACACATTATATATATAAATAAAACAACTCGTCGCTAGAGTAAATATTAACAACGCAAGGGGTAAATCAATGAAATTAAAGTTTTGTACTTTATGAAAAATCAACAATAACAACAAAAGAATAGAGCAAACTCATGTTTATGTCACCTCTCATAGATAACATTTAGCACTATCGCTACCAAAAGATTAATTTTGCGCAGCATATTTCCACACTTTCCCTGTACTACATACATACGTATGTATACGCGAAAAAAAGTAAACTTTTCGAAAAAGTTTTCGTCGAAGTCGAAAAGAAAACCTTCTTTCAAAACCTTTCTTGAAGGGACAAATTTTATGAAGGGGAAAAAATCTATATCTTCAATATTTCAGTCTAGGAAGACGAAAATGAAGTTTGGGTTTTTATTTGTTGCAATTTTCGAAAAATAGTTTTTAACGAAAAGAGACCTGCACCACTTTTTAAACGTCCATTATACTATCCAACAACAAAATTTAATCAAAAACGATAGCAATTTTTTTTTTAATGTCCGAGGGGCTTCATTTAAGTACCCCCCAAACGTAAAATATCGATTTCAAATTCAAGGGGCCGCGGTAATAGCCACAACAATTAGGGAATATCGATTTTGGAGAAAATTGAAATTTGGTCGCTAGCGATGCTACAGACAGGCGGACGGACGAACCTTTCTGCTGTCAATCTCGGTTTCAAAGGCTCACAAAACATTGATTCTGGATACACTATGTGTTAGAGGATCCTTTTTCTAAATTTATCATATCGATTTATCCATTTTTTCGTTGCCATGTCCTTGTAATAATTTTTTCTGCGGAAAATTCCTAGGTTTTTTTGTGCAGCATTACATAACTTTTCTACCGCGGTAGCAAGAAAGAAAAAAAAAGTCATGAAACTTAATAAGAAATCATTTGAAGCACTTAAACTCACAAATTCAATAATTTGCCAAGTATGACCAAGTAAAAATGTGAACAACACAAGGTATGTAATAAATAAATAAATAAATAAATAAATAAATAAATAAACCAGTGTAATTTTTGAAAACCAACAGAATTCATAGCTAGAGGGGCTACAACAGCATATACTTTCTCGGTATATTGTTACCATTATGTAATATGCCACAATTTCTATCACTTACACTTCAAATATCACATTATCTCGTCAATAAACAAAGCCAGAAAAATATTTTATTTAAAAATATATTAGTTTAAATGAAAATATATTTATGATATTGAATTCAGTGTATTAAGGTATTTACTGTATTCACAAACATATCCAATGCGTATTTTAACCTTGAAATATACAACGTTGGCAGTTTACAAGAAAGAAAGAAAAAAAACATGTTAAGATGCGATCCAACAGCAACGCAACAGTGCACCGTTGCCAGAGTGGTGTTGACAAATCAACAATGGACAAATTTCACATATTGAACATTCCGATCTAAAGGTCATCCAATATATCGCATTATGAATGCATTTAAAATCATAGAGAACATTGTAATATTAAGTAAATAAAGCAGCCGTATCTTATCTATTCTATCATGTTGAGCAGTTGAACAATGAACAGCTAAAATATCCATCGCTACAACAATGTCGCAAAAGGTGGTAATATCAAATTCTTTCATGTTATATTTAAATAATTTGTTTAAGAGATAGAACTAATATAATAATTGGGGTGATTGCAAGTTATTATATATTGATGCGACGGCTTTTATATTGACACCGCCTCAAACGAAGCGCGGCAAATTCGAATTTACATTTCGATTTTTTCTCCCACTTTTTGAAAATAGAGAACATGAGATCAGCACAACTTTCTTTAGCGTACTTTGCTATATACATGAAAAAATTAGAATGGACATGAAAGAACATGATATAAAAAATTGATACAATATTCTGAGAAAATAAATATTTAAAATTTAAAAATTGAGTAAGTTTGACGCCAAAATAGTATTATTTTCGACATTTTTTGATACTTTGAAAATAAACATGAAGCATCAGCATCATTTCAACATTTTTTTCAAAAATGTGTCAACATCTTTTCTTTAACGTTTTCCCTCAGAAAGAGGAAATTGTGTCTAAAGACATTGGTTTGGTTGAGTTTTCATTGAAATCTGAATTTTCGAAAATTGCAAAGATTCAAACATTTTTCGGCATCTTTGTAAAAACACAAAATTGAATTGTTGAATTTCTATATCACATTGAGTCAATGTAATAGATGTGATCATGGGACTATTTTGACCATAAGGAAGAGAAATTCACCTAGTATTGCAACAAAATTACTATGTTTAAATATATATTTTGTAGCTATAGTTGTAACCTCTTACCCAATCTGATAAATAAGTCAACCTTGCAGCCTCTTTAACCTTCTTAATATTATTTGTATTTTTACAGGAACGAAAATTGTTCATATTGTTTTTATCCATATCTTACAATTTTTGTTCAATGACATCATTGGATTTATCCATTATGGCTTTTAGAAGCAAACTCTGTATCTTCCAATTCCTTTTCAAAATGTGCGGAGTGCTGCAATTGTTTTGTAGATATCCAGATTGTTGGGGAAATTTTAGGGAGCTCCTAATGTCGCCTGGTTTAAAAATGTCTCACTCGTAATGTAACATATTTCGTCCTTATAACGTACATTACCACTTTTGTTTCAAAATATGGCATGGATATCCTTTCCATATCGAAATTATTAGGGGGCGGATTTTAATGATTTCCCCCTCCTTCACTTAAGAACAATGCAGTTTAGTATATAAATTAATTTTATGATATGACAAAAGGAAATTACCCATTTTGCATTTTTCGTTGATTTCGACTAAGAAGTGATTTTTTAGTTTCCCATCATTTCTAAAGTATGTTTGCTGATAATCGATTTTAATGGTTCTTGCTTCAAAAAATGTTTACGAATTGCAACTAATGTTCTCCACAGAATTCCTGATTAGCCTATTCGATTTTGCTCAGAAATTGTAACGTCAGTCGTATGTGATCTAAGGTTTCTGTTACGCCCATCGGCGCCTTTGTCGGTTCGGCCGATTTCGGGATAACTAAAGACAGATTTCCTGGAAAAGAACAGTCCAAACCAAAGGTTTGCAAGGCGAGTGAAAAAAAAATCTTATGTGCTTCCAAATGTCGTATAGTGTAAGTCCAAACTTCGAAATCCGTTTGATGTCTTCACAAATATATTCAATGCAGCATAACCGTGAATTGAATTAATGCCTTGGCGGGACTCGGGCCATGAGGCCTCTTCCGTCTGACCACGCAAATTTCATCTAGTAGCGGAGAAAGGAGGTATTTCTTGGGCGAAGAAACAGACGAATAGAATTTAGTTAAAGGCTTCATTTAGGCTTGAGGATCTTTTATATGCAATAAATCTACTAACATGGGACAGCCAGCTTTACTTCCCCTCCGAAGGAAGGCGTACGAAGAATATTTTTCCACGGCTTCGATCGGGTTTGAGCCCGCGAGCTTGGGTATAACAGTGCGGTATGCTAACCGTTACACTAGCCGTGAAGTAAGAAATCAAACAGCAGTGCGACTCAAATGGGGGTCGTTCACAATGATGGCGCGCGGCTAAATTTTAGCGGTTTGCAGTGAAATAGTTAAATTGTTCGAAAGAAGGTTCCTCAAGTAGAAATCTGAAGCTTTAATCTTATTCTCATTATAAGTATTTTTGATAAATATTTGCGAATATACGGCTATTTGAAAAATGTGTACTTCTATGGTTTTGACGGAAAATTGGCCATATTCGGACTATCCTTGCTAAGGACTATTCTCGCATCAAAAACTCGCCGTCGCTGTTCAGCCCGCGATGTTGCAATTTTCGCATACAAGATGGTGGAATGGAGAGAGAGCCACTGGGGAGAGACTTTTTGAACGCTCTGTACATACATACAGTAGAACCTCGCAAATCCTAAATTTAGGATAATCTGAATAAAATTCTGGACGGAGGAAAATTAAATAGTAAACGAGTAATAACCATTTCAAATTCAAAGGTTCAATATATTTCAGATTGAGCCAGGGAAAACAATTATGGTGAAAATCCTGCATGTGGCTTAGTCGCTAGTGTTCACAGATAGGTAAACATTTTGCCATAAACCAATATTTCGTACCATGGGCCCACCAAACATGGATTCCAACTACACAATGTGTTTGAGGAAGTTATCCACTACACTTACGAACAAGATTTATTCGCTTCTTCGTTATCAGAGTTCATCAAGAAAAGTTCTTCTGTAGGAAAATCACATTTTTTCTTGCAGTATTACAATACTTGGTCTGATCTGCATTAGTAGTATGTGAGAATAAACAAAAAAAGCATTTTTTTGGTATCGGGGTACACCAAAACATGTATTTTTGATGAAATCTTCAAATCGATTCTCTATAGTATATAGCTTCTCTGTACTACATATATTACTCAATTTGGATGGTAAAAATAGAAATAATCTTTCACAATAATTGAATATTTATTACTCTGCATATGTGTATGCAAATAAGGAAATAAAAAGGAAAGGCAAGATGAGGAAAGGAAAGAAATATAAGGAAAAGAGAGCAAAGCCAAGCTATGAAAAAAAATAATTCATTTTCAGTTGAAAGGGTGAATTTTGAACCTTGCCAACTTCTTCAAACATTTTTATTTTGAGTTGAAATCCCTAATTAAATCCCTTTTCCTTTCATGTTATTTGACGTCAGTTTTCACCATGAGATGGGGAAACTATGTCAATTTTTGGACAAAATCAAATATTTCAATGCCTTGCTCCAATATAATTGCCCTTTTAGAAGTATTGAAAACTGTCCAAAGCCATTATCATTATTATAATATTTATAAATGAAATTCTGTTAAAATCAAATATGAATGTACATACCTGCAAACCAGTTCTCCATCCATAGCATCATGTTCATCATTGCTGTTAAATGAAACTCTTCCGCCTATTGCAGACCCTATTATATACACAAGCCAAGTAAGACGCCCTTCCTGAATAGTAACATCTATTTGCTGTGCGTTAGGACTAGCCATGAGCTCTTGGTATGCACGTGCTGCCTGATCAAACAACTGCACAAGAAGGGTGCACGTTTTCTGGTATTCGCAACGACCTATGACAGACAGCTGCTCCAATTGTTGTTGCACCATTCCCAAATCATCTAGAGGATCTTCTAGGCCTTCCCTGGTTTCCAAAAACATTATGGATTATAGATCTTACTTATCATAAAAAAACTGGCTACAATAGTCTCATTAACTTACCTGACAACAACTGCAACCGATTCTAGACGAGAAGTAATATATGCATTTGATACTTCTGGTGTATATGTTTCTAAAAGATGAGGCTCTGTGGCCTTTACATAAGGTACAGATGCAACCATTCTTTGCCATAAACTGAGTAAGTAATGTACACTATTAGGTGCAAATTGCCACATCTGCAAAAATAGAGGAAGTAGAGCCAATAATGAATCATATAATTTGACAATTTACAATTACATAGTAATAGTCATCACAAATTAAATTGATTTTCTCTACACAATAATTAAGCAAAAGAAATGAATGTTAAATCTGAAAAATTCAAATTGCATTTCATTCCATTATGTTATCAAGTTTTAAACTAAGACATGGATATAAGGTTGCATACATAAAATTTAGCTATTTAATTAAACATTTTGATCAAACACATACACGTGTTTTGTTGGCTGGGCTATCCGGGATGAGCCGCATCAATGTCATGGTGGCTAACGTTTCGGCCAGCGTATTGTGGCCTTCTTCAGAGCGTACTGCTTGAAGAAGGCCACAATACGCTGGCCTAAACGTTAGCCACCATGACATTGACGCGGCTCGTCCCGGATAGCCCAGCCAACATAAACTCCGGCCGCGGAAGCCTACGCAACCATAAACATACACGTTTTTCAAAAATTAAACAACAAAATAGGTGTTCAGAGCCTAAGCAATAAAAATTAACAATAATTTAATTATGTTATTAATTACAGGAAACCAACTTTTAAAAGAACTAGAACTTGTAGTTGGGTACTCAGTTTTGTAGCCCTAGTTATGTGGACGAGTGAATTCTGTGGATTTCTGATCGTTCATGCTGAAGAGTCACCGGGAGTAAGAAGAACAACTAAACCTAAGAGTATGTAATAAAAGTTTCATTTTGTAGAATACAACTTAAAGAGACAATTCAGGTTCAACCTGTCACTCTACATATCCCTTGTTTCTTTCCCACCATGTTCCACATGTACTTCTCCCATCTTCCTGCATATTGTATGTTTTCGGTACATGTATACAGATTTCCTGCATGTTCCCACATGTTCCTTTGTAAGTTCCCCACAATATTTCCAAAGGTTTTCAACAATTTCCTCACATTTTCCCACATAAGTTACTGGAAAGTAAACTGGATAATCAGAAATTTATTGCAAGTCCTTTTAACATTTTAGTAAAGAGAGCTGTCTAATGGAGAGAAAATTGAGATTTTGATGGAAATATACATTTTGAGGGGCCCCAACACCAAACACTGTCATTCAAACAATCTGTAAACACAATACTTCAATCATACATTTTCAGCAAAACAATATTCTCTCATCAGGTGATGGCATGGCCCCTTGGATTTGAATTGCATATTTTAATTCTCGAAGGTACTTCAAAGGTACATTAATCCCTTAAACATTCTCAAATTATTTTCTCTGAAATGGTTCTAAATTTTCTATTAACAAGGAAAATGATTTTGGCCATTCATAAGACAAACAGTTTTTTGAATAAACTATTGCAGTTAATATGCATTTCTCTTTTTTTTTTCTTCTTGCTGTTTTCTTAACCGCTACTTCGATCTTCCGGCACCTAATCATCTTCTCCTGTCTTCCCTGTTCTTCCAAGAATCAGGAGATAGTTTCCACTTCTCGATTATCTTTCTGATCTGGTCGTTCCATCCTTGTCTTGGTCTGCCTCCTTTTCTCCTTTCACTAGGTTGCCATTTAGGGATCTTCTCCTTCTCTCATCCATTTGCTGTACATGTCCGAACCAAGTGAGTTATTTCTTTTCAATTTCCTCTATAATATCATGTTGCAGAGTCATTATTTCCTTAACCTGTTCATTCCTAATTCTTTTCCTTCTAGATATTGCTGCAGCTCTTCTGAGGAAATGCATTTACAACGCTCTCAATTTTCTGTTCCGTTCTGCTGCCATATTTCTGCTCCATACAATGTGACACTTTCAATAATACATTTATATATTCTAATTTTCGTTTTTTTGCTTATATTTGTATCCCAGATCACTGCATTCAGGGTTCCTAAAATTTTTCTTCCTTTAACGAGTAGGGTTTTACATTCCTTTCCATAAAAACCTTGTTTTCCTGTAGTTGTTCCCAAGTACTTTATGTCCTTTGTTCTTATTATTTCTCCAGTTCCTATAGTCAATACATCATGTGTACTGCCTCGAGTCCAATATACTGTTTTTTCTAGATTGAGGCTTAGTTCCCAATTCTCATAATCTTCTCTTGCATTTATTAATATTTCAAACAGAGCAACATTTCGAGGCTCAATTTGCTTCATTATCAGACTAGAACCAATACATTTTTTTAAATATTATACATTCTATATAAAACACATTAGGGAATGCCCAACACAAAAATATTTGGCAGTCTGCAAAGATTACAAAAAATCAAAAAACCCAGCCACCATTATGGAGACTGGCCTTTCATGCTAATTGTGATAAGAATTTTTTTTATTCCAATGATCAAAGGGAGGCGCAAAAGAGGAAGGAAAGAAATGTCTTTAAGACCAGGTGAGCAGACTAAGATAACTGCAATTGAACTTGAGATAGTTATCTCTTGAATGCATATATAGCCTTTGCATCAATCTAGCATGACCTGCAGCTCCTGGTAGAAGAAACAATGATAACACTATCTTTGGAATGCTACCGAAAAAGATCAATGATAGCTCCAGCAGTTTTCGATAATCATGTTGCTGCTGTTTTTGCATTGAAAATTGGCATTCAAGAAATCCAAGTACAATAGAATGCACGTCAGGAACTTCACTGCTTTACAGTTTTTGTAGAGTTTTGACAATGTTTCTCAAAACCTTTTGAAAAGCTCCATACCAGAAGTTGCAACTATCAGAGTCAAAACAACTCCATAAAACTAACTAAAAAATATGATAATGGCTAGGTAGGTTAACAGGTCGTTTCTAGATTTGTAAACACACTGTTTACTCAACCTTCGTTGCTTCCTTTCATACTGAAACAAAATATCTGCATTATGTCTCTTGGATCCCACTTTCCTACTGCTCGGGATTCAGGAACTCCAAACAAGCTCCTTGGCTTGATAAATTAGTGTTGCTGTTCGTCTATATGGGAGAACTTTCCATTCCAGTGTAAAACATTTACAGTCTTTTAGATGAAATTTCTGTGCATCTCACAATTGAATGTTTCAACATTATAAATAACATTATGGCAATGGAGGGATTATTAAATAAGTTTATCAAAGTATGAATATGTAATAACAATAGTTTTGGTATATAATAATAATTCACATAACAAAATTCACATGGCAATCATTCAAAACTACATTGTCAATTGGGCTAATATTTTGCACAGATTGTCGTTTTTTCTTGATTGGAACGATAGGGGAGTAGGAGCTAAAGTTTTGGAAAGTTGAAAAATAAGGACCACTCTAGCAAACATGCCTGTTTAAATTCATGTGAATGTAACCAAATATAAAAAGTTTGTCTCTGTGAATAAATGTATATGTTTTGAATATATTTGAATTCAGGTTTCTAAAATTTTGCATTCTAAGTTCACACATCCATGTCAATATAATCCATGTGTTCTATTTTGTCTTCATTTTATATTATGAGACAATAAGAGCAAAATATATTGATTTTTGCATCACAATATAATGTAATAAAAAAAAATTAAAAAAAGAGGGGGTAAATTTACAATAAAGTAATTGAAAGCTGTATTCTAGCTTCTCCAACAAGTTTAATCAAACTATTCTCAACTACTGTCACATATTTTTCAACATTTGTGTTTGTAAAGATTTAATTTGTACATGTAAATAATATTCAACAAAATTAACTGGCAATGCATCACAAACCAAAAGTTAGTTCACACAAACATTCACATTTCCCACACTGTTACTGGATAGTATACTGTACTTTTTGGTATTTGCACAATTAGATCCTTTTTCTTAGATACTGTAATAGTGGGCAACTCCAATATCTGCTACCATTTCAATATTCTTAAGTAATTACTTTTGTTAAAAATGATTATACATGGAATATGTAACCCATAATTATTGTATTAAAACTTATCAGCAACTAAATTTAAATATGGAAGTTTTAAGCAACAGTAGGCCGATCGATGTCACTAGTAAATTGTGGGTGGTTCCAATTCCTCCACAGATTTCATTGAAACTCCTTTAATATTTAATTGCCAGTGAATCCAATGACCATTTTCAGATCTTAAAAATATTATGACATACATGACACAAGAAAGAAAAAAATTTGAAAGAAGTTTACAAATATGGTTTCATGACAGTATTAATACTTCTCAGTATTTAGGTGTCCAAACAGAATGCAAAACACAATAACAAGCAAAATAGGAAAATCTAATTTTTAATGTCATCAATGTTTTTAAATAAATATGTGTCTCTTTACTGAGTATCACATTCCACCTTGCAAATACAGGGTCATTCATAAATTACCTAATGCTGAAGTGAGGGGAAGGGGTTTGACGTACCATTATGCTGCATTACATAGAATTACATGGTTTAGTGTTACTTGATACTAATATTTATTTTTAAAATCTTTCAACATTCACTGAAATAATTCCTTTTATTCAGTCTTATACTAAAACATTACCATATTAACTGATTAAATTAAAAATATAATAAATTAAAGAAGTTATATTCTATAAATTGTCACAAAAATGGAAATATTTTTCATCAATGATATATTGCTCGAGTGTTTGAGATTATAAAGAAAATATTCAAAACTGATTTATAGTATATTCTAGAATCCAATTAGTTGGTGCAGTATACTTGGAGCATGACGGCATATGCATGGCTTGTCAGAAATTTTCCTCACCTACAGGTCCTACTGCAATGGGCCTCAGCAACCATGGGAAATAGGAAGGGTATATCAATTTTCTGACTTCATCTAAATATCACTGTAAACTACATGGGTTGTTGAAGGTATAGAAGTACAGTAAATTTTTGACTGCACTGAATGCACCATTTAGGTTGTTGGAGAATTCATTATGTAGAATATAAGAATTATTGGTTAAAAGCCTGCTTTGAAAAGAGCACTTTTTATGTGGAAAGGTCGACTAGCTTGGAAAAATTATTCTTTTGGATCTCTGGGTGTGATAGCAAGCAGTTCTCACAGTGCCTATCCCTAAGGTGATTTTCCATTGTTACAAACACAAGTATGTATGAGAATTCAAACCAATTTTTTATTATTATTATTATTATTATTATTATATTATTATTATTATTATCATTATTTATATCATTACTTATTTCAATTATTATTATCATTTTACATTATAATTATCATTATTATTATTATTATTATTATTATTATTATTATTATAAGTTTATTTTTTGTTGAGATTTTTATTCTTACTTTACTGAAGGTTAAGAGTCTTCAACACTTGTTTCCCCAATATTGTGCGATGAATTCAATATAAAATTTAAAAAATTTTCTTTAATTCTTATCCTATTAAAGAAAAACTGGAAATAATGAGATCTGGAAAGTGTATCACAAGTTCTCAAAACTTTATTCACAAAGTAAAATCTAAAAAAAAAAAAAAAATGCTATTATCGAATATTCAAGGTTGCTGTTTGTAGTAAATTCAAAGGCTGTTTTGCTTTTCTGGTATATTATATGAAAGCAACAATACTCTGATATAGACTTGCTTTAAACCCTAGGAAATAGAATAATGAATCTTTTCTTTTCATTATACTTAAAAGAATTTAAATCAATAACAGAAATATTGAATAAACATGAAGCTTATGGAACACGTTTATAGTTTGCAGTTAGCATTCATAATATCCCTAGCAAAACATTTGTCTATATTACGTTTCTGTCACTCAACGGAGCTAGAACCCCCATCTTCGGAGGGCTCCAGCCGTCCTACCTTTTCTCATCTGAACTTCCTTTGTTTCCTTCTTGAGCTTCCTTAGCAAAACTATCATTCACAACAGTTGTTTTCCACTTGCTTTTCTTCAGCCACATTAGCCAGTGTATCTGAACAGTCCCCTTACTTGGTGCTAAATAGAAGAGAGTTAAAAGTTATAGATGGTTCTGTCTTCATACTTGTTTTCCCTCATCATGCCTTGGCTTCATACTTGTTTCTCTAATTCTTTTAAGTGATCTACTAAAGATTCAAACCATGACCTCTCATGTTTCTGAGAGTCATCATCTTAGTTACATACAATCTGATGGATAACTTTTCCTGAGTAGGAAAGTATAATCCCAGCCTTTCTGAAACCAGAAGTTATGACTGATTCCCTGTAAGCTCCTATTTCTTCATATGCTTTTTTTCTTAAGATAAGGAAATTTTGATTTGGAAACCAGGCATCTGTTTCCATTGATCTGAAACTTTTCTTTGTGCAAATTTCAGAGGGCAATAAAAGGAAGCATGAAGTGGCTGACATAGATGAATTGTGTTAGAAGGCAATAACACAATGTGCACATTGTGTTGTGTTCCACACATCTAAATAATACACAGAGAAATATGACTGGACAAGTTGTCACCAATGAACAACTTTGGATCTTCAAACCTTTATACAAATGGAAGGAGTACATCTGAAAACCAAGCTTCAAGCATGCACATATCAAACCATCCATTAAGACTTCAATTGTAGCCTGACCCTGGTATACCTCGTATCATTGTTTATAGAGAAAGAAATATGTCATCCCTATAGAGCTGACATTAGCACTTAAAGGAATCAATCATTCTTTCAGGATGTTTAACACCAAGTTTCTTGAAGATTTTCACTTGGTCTGGGTCACTAGTTTAACAGTAATTGATACTGTTTAGCTGGTGGTGACCTCAATCAATGATTTCTGAAAATTCAAAAAGTATAAAAGCATAGTTGAATGGGTGCCTGTTGACCCTTTTTAATTTTTGTCAAACAGTTATTTCTTCCTTCCTTCCCAAAACTCCATAAAGCCAATCTTTTTTTGGTCAATTGATAGATGTTTTTCAGTTCTTCCTACTCTCCTTACATGACTGTTGAACAAATTGATGCTTAACAATATAAACATTTCAGTTCCTCAAGGGGAACCATGGGTTTGCGCAGTTTGTCCCTCAACCAAATATTTCTCTTCCTACCTACTCAAAGTGGTTTGACCTTCCATCTTCTATTTAATATTCAACTTTATGTATAAATGCTACACCCGCACTTGCATCGAATATGTTTATTAGATACTAAAGAATTAATATATCTGACACAGATTGTGGTTTTTCAATTAAAAGCATTGAGTATTGTAACCGCCTGTCTTTAATGGTGTCATCATATTACAGTAACAAATTCAAACGTATCAATATCAAAAGTCAGGTTGAGTACCTAAATTAACATGTTTAAAAATAACACTGAGTTTCAAAATTAAAAATTCTGTGCCCTTCAATGTAATAGCTCTGAAAGTGGTAATTTCTCATTGTACTCTATTTTCATTAAGGACAATAACTGCGTCTTTCTACCACCACTCCAACCACCCTTCTTTCTTCATGAGCAAAAAATGTTCAAGACAAAGAAAATGTTAAACTATTTCTATAATTTAAAAGTAAGATAGCACTCTAACCTAATAAGAAGTGTCATAACACAATTTGTTTAATATAACTTACGGAGTGCAATTCCAATTAGAAAGACAAAATAGCAAGAGCAACAATTATACAATCAGACAGAAATTCAATAATTCTATAATACCTGTAAACTTTGCACAGTGAACTTCGCAATCAGTTGAATAGCTTCTGGGTAATTCTCAACCATCACTAGCTCTCCCAACTGATAATTTGATTTTAAGCGAGCCAACAAGCGACAAAATTCATGGTAATTGCTGGGGTCACTTAGTCCCTAAAAGATGTAACAAACATGACAAATAAAAACACAATAAAGCACTAAAAACATTTCTTACGTATTACAAATAATTTACAACTTATTTCTTACTTGTGGATTCTGCAAAATATGCTTCACACCATTCACCAAGTGAGTAAGAAATTTTGCCCGCTCTGTATTGCTAAAGAGAGAACGGCGAACCGAAGCAATTTGAACTAGACAAGAAAGTGCCTGAAAAATGGAGAAAATATGAAAGACTAATGTTAGGAACCTTTTCTTTCTATTAGTACAATAATATACATACCAATGGAGACAAAGTGTTCGGTAGTGAATGATATAAATCAAAGAAAAGTTTGAGTGTGGTAAAATCCAGGAAGGCTGGTCTCCAACTTGTGGGGATCTGTACAGTGCATAAATCATCAGACGACTCATCTGTTGATGTTCCAATGAAGTCAAATGTTAGGCAATTATGGGCAAGTCGGAGAAGTTGAGTCATCAAACCATGCTGTGAAAAATGAAAAAAATTTAAATGACTCTCAGACAAAATGCATTAGAAAACAAGGTTAAATTATTCTTTCAAAAAAAAAAATTATATCATACCTGTCCTTCATCATTGAAGTTCAAACTCTTGCAATTTTCCCTGGCAGTACCAAGAAGAGTACATGATAACCTAAATATTTCAAAAAGCTGTGTATCTCGAAATGAAGATGCTATCTTACGGTGCTTTGTTAAAGATCGATTTGCATCTGCCTCTGATATTTGATTCATTTCACATGTAAGCTGAGACAGCAACTGGACGCCTATCATGCAATGTTCCACAGAGCCCTTAAGTAGAAGTGAAAAAATGTATTAACACAATGAAAAATGTAAATTAATTTATATGATTTAATATATAATAATAATAACATTAATAATAATCACAATAGCATGGTACAAAACTGTTTTAAAAAATTGGTTACTAAAAATGTTGTGACATTGCATACACACCAAATAATGGCCACCTATCACAAGAACTAATCACAATTCATCCATTTCCAATGCATCTTACTGTTATCCCGGGCACACACTGTCAGTAAAGGAAGCTAATAACTGAAACACTGTAACAGTGTCAGCATTGCTACTACAGCATTCAAAGACAGTACACTCATGCCATTACATAGAGAGAAAAATTGGTAAGGGGAACTTAAATCAATAATTCTGAACAGTAACAGATATTGTGTATTATGCGTAGGAGAATAAATACACCAACTTTTGTAAGATGTTTCAATTTATTTACGTGAGATAGAACACAAAACGCAATACAAATGTTTATAAGTACATTACATGTGACAGCATAAATGAACAAGAAAATTGCTGAAAACAAATTCACACACAAAGCAAAGCAAAACAGAGCCGTGTGCTCAAAATAAAATACAAACCAATTTCATGATCAATTATACAAGTATTTGATGTAAAAAAAAAAACTGATTAGGAATAGGATCAGCAAATGCCTTTTAGAATTGGATTTTTATTGATAGTTTTTGGCTACCAATTTTTGAAGATCACAATTTCCATAAATCTGGATTAAAACATTACTTAATGTAAATGATGGAAGTGAAAACTTCATTAAAAAAAATACTGGGATGCAAACAACATAGCTCTTCAATTTTCGTCAACAAATTTGTCAAAACTCTTAGTGAATAACAACAATGGAATAGTGCTAATTGTTTTTATCAGACAACATTCCTAACACTAGAGTACCCAAGAAATATTTCAATATTCAATATACAGTAATTTTTTTTTTACATATTTAACAATCTCACACACAGAAAGTTGTTTTAACATATCTTATTCAATAACATACAAAACCTTTAGAAAACGTACAGGAAAACAGAAACCATACAATACTGTACTAATGTACATAATAAAAATGACACTTCTTTTTTAAACTTCCTAATAATGAAAAGCAAATCATTAAAAAAAGCTAATAAAATGATACAATTGAATATGTATAGAAAATAAAACACACAAATGAAATGCAAACACATACAAAAAATACTTGCTGAAGAGTAGAAAATTAAGAAATGTCTATAGCTTTTCCCCAAATATACTACCTCTTACTTACCTGCAAAAACTTTGTGATATCAGTAACAACATTTCTGAAGACAAATTCATCTTTATCATTATCAAACCAGCCAAGCTTACTGATTCGGGCAAATAATGCAACCAAGGCTTGAATCACAAAGTTGGGAAGTTTAGGTCGTGTTGCTAAGTAATTCAGGACATAGTTGCCTGATAGAGAGAAAACAAGCACGGTTAGTTATACACAGCACATCATACCGTGTAACTAAATTGCAACACATTATGGCATTACATGATTATATTTGATTAGCTACAAAGTTAACTGTCAACACTCACCATTAACATCAGACAATACACGTCATTCAATAAGTGGGGGTATAATAAATTGGAAGAGCATGCAAAATTTGCTAAATAAAAATAATTTAAAGGAATCCACTCAACAATGTAATGAAGAGATATGTTACAGTTACCTTACAATGAAAACAGTCTACCAAAAGAAATAAAAATGGCTCATGCCAAAAGCAGCTTATTATTGTAATTTGGTTAAGCACTTACGTATGTCAACTCTCTGTTGCAGACTTAAACCTTGAGCACTGCGAGAAACAAGCTTGGTCAAAGTAGTGGCAGCCAGAAGTTGGGCATAACATGAATCGCCTCTATCAAGTAGCAATTGACATTTTGAGAGAGTATCTGGAGAATTCTGAAAGCTCACTAAAGCCTTTTCTGCTTCAGCTCGTTGAGCTGAATCAGAAGACTCATATAATTGTTTACATAGTAACTCCAACTGCCGAACTTCCTAGAACAGTAAGGTTAAGCTTCAGCAAAACATCAGCATCCAGTTGGGGGTGCTGGTGATAAACACACTTACCATTCTTGAAAATTAATTATAAAAGGAAAATGATGTTACACATACAAAAAGCTGATTTTCAATACAACTAATTACAAGTCAATACATTTCGTTGACCAAATAGCCTGGCACAAGCACGCCATTGGAAATTGAGATGCAACGCGTTTTTAACATTGGGATCTCAGAAGAAATTCTACATCGTACAGCCACATATAGAAGGAAAAATTAAATGCATCGTTACTTTACATCTTGTCAAACAATGTCAATCTAAGAATTACATTTGTCATCCTCCTGAAGAATAACAAACGTTAATTGAAAAAGCGTTTTGAACTTGTGTTGATTTGTTCCGGTGGGAGCAGACGACTCGCTGACGATGTCCTCGGCATTTTAGCACAGACAAAAATTATAAATAAAATTTGAATTCTACCACTTCACTTGGTAAAAATTGCAGTCAATCGGTGCACAGAAATTTCTAATTTCGGTAAGCAAACACACCACATATATTTCTGAGTTTACATCAGGGGCTCGGACTCACCTGTTCATCCGCCATTTTCGAGGCTCACCATTTGATGCGATGGTGGTGCCACCTCAAAACATCAACACGTTTAATGCGGAATAATTAAAAAAAAGGTCCTAGGATGGTTGTCACTTTCGGCAAGTGCAGTCTCTTCTAATAGCACACGGTTTGTTCACCTACGCTCTTTCTAACTACTTTTCAACGAAAAGTATAAAATTTTACTCGAATACTTAAGTCTCATCAACCTGCCCCACGCATTGCAGTGAGCGTCGATTTCGAATAGTCATGTCCCTTATGAATGCAGTTTTGACAGATGCACGGAAATTTGCGCCATGGTTGGCCCTAGAACAGCCACAATTTTCGTACACTGGGGTACGGGTTTAAGGAATTTGGCGAAAACAAAAGTATTCGAAAGTGCCTCAAAAACATTTATTGTCATCTACACATACAACTTTATATAATTTAAATCCAGTACTTTGTATCATCTAACTGGAAGTTAAGGAACAATAAGTAGCCAAGGATGTAGACTTTCAGTTCTCACAAAATGACATCTCCGTAAACATTTCAAAATATTAAATATCCCAGTTAACAATGACTTTATTTACAAATTCTCACACATACTCCACTGCAATCACAAACAGAAGCCATAACTGTAAATTTATAGCATTCTACTTAAAACGCTGAAAAGCTTATCCAATATACCTCTGCCAAAGTGCAAAATCTACATGATATCCCATAATTATCTTATGACTTGGAATAAAAGGTATGCAAAGATCAGTTATCAACAGCTGAATTTATTGAATCAGTTACCTAGGTCATAAAAGTTATATATTACATTGGAAAAATTATTCTATCTACACCAGGTCAAAACAAGGACAGACTGAAAGAAACTGTACACATCATACACATCAGTAAGAGAAAAGATCCATACAGTATAACACACATGAGCAGCAAAATTATAACAATCACAAACTCTTGAGATCAAAAGTAGTATTTTTACTAATATGAAATATTCATTCACACAGGCTCAATTGCTCACAGAAATAGAAATACAATACAAAGAAGGTTCTTGAAACAAACATTCACAAGAAATATAATTTTCTTCACAAGAACTTTATGTTCTTATATATATATATATACAAATAAGACTCCAACCGAGGTCAAGTTTCTGGTAGGTAATGAATTAAACATTTCAATTTGAAAAAGCACCCAGTCACAAAAATTTGAGAAATGTAAATTTAATTCTCTAAGATTGTTTAATACCAACAGCTACTTTCTTACTCTAGATATGGTCTACTATATTTCATAATTTGAAAGCATTTATTACAGGAATTACCATCTCACAAAGCAAACCTATGTGTATTAGAGACAAAACATCTTCACAATAGAATATCACATAGAAAATGAGTACAACTAGTTCAAATGCTTAACAGCAACTTCTGTGGTAAAGTAAAAAAATTAATGTACCTTTGCAACTGGGTGCAACAATGAAGTGTGAACTCCATTTGGTACATCTCAAAATCTTGCATAGCATTCATACTAAAATGAAAATTCTACATGCAAAAGGTGATCTGGCCATTACTTAGTAGAGGACAACATTCCAATGACAAAACTATTTGTAGAGAAAGAAAATTTTGGGTGAGGCTGATGTGAAAAACATTCAATACTACATCTTGTAAATGAAGTAATAGAGAGTAGAATTAGATTACTTAAGTATGTTCTGCCCAATGAGGCATATAGAATACTTAGCAATAAAAGAATTGGAATTCTTCACACACTTTTGAATTAAGATCAATATGAAGAGCTATATAACAACTGTGAAAATTAGAAAGTGCATTGAATATCAAAATTATGACAATTTTGAGTACAATATTCTCTCAGAGGTCAGACTGCCTTTCACTTGTAGAATATCACCTTAAATATCACTTTTTAATTACAATAGCACACACAGCCAGCCTGTGAAGATATTTAGGCTTCAACTGTTTAATAGTATTAACTAATTTCATATTAGCTGTACAAAAAAAGGTTGCATAACTTCTGTTCAGGGCACATAATGGGTACATGTTGGCCACAAATTAAAATACCCCATTCACTTTTGTTTTACAAATAGAATTCATTTACAACAAAACATCTGAACAACACTGAAATTGAAAATACATTCTTGTACATGTCTTTCAAGGTTTTAATCATAGTTCAGGAAAACTAACTTGTGACCACTGAATAAAATACCTTCTGAAATAAACCCTATATGGTGGTATTATTTAAGGAAAAGACACAAATGAACAGTTCCTTAAATTTTCATTAACCTAATTTTAAGTTCTCAAGAATCTTGCAGTCTTGGTCATAAAATTTGGTACACTACAGATCTTTTTAAAATGCACACAAATTCAACAAAATATCCAACTTCAAAAATTAATAATATATTTGCAAAAATTAATCAGACTATTGCAACCTGAAAAGTCGGGAACAACAATTCTTACAAAAACTTGCTTTAGTACTGGCATATCACAAACTCTCACAAAAGAGGATAATAATTGTGTTAAATTAGTAAATGTGCAGTTATTAATTTTTTTTTATAAAATTTAAAATTGCAGTAATCTTTTGTGGGAAAAACACCAAACTTTCACGGGAAAGTTCATATGCAGTGCACACTGAAACAAAATATTGCTAGAAAACGAGGAAGTAGGCGTTTTAAACAGATTTTTGCACTATTCTAGAGCACTAAACACACAAAGAATGTACATGAACCTTATTATCAATATTTTAATCACCCATACTTCTTAAAATGCACTGCAAGAGAGAAGAATAAGAGAATATGAAGCTGCATGTTAAGAATGTTCACTGATACACGAAAAGTTAAAATGCTTTCATATTACATTCATTAAAATCACATCTGAAAATAACATTTTTTTAGTGCAACACTAAAATTTTAAGTGGCAAATAATACTTTTCATCAAGTATGCATTTCCACACCTTACTGCACAATTTAAATAGCTGAGAGCTGATAAGGAGTAGCAGGAATACAATCTTCAAATTTTTTCCTACCATTGGTGTTAAAATTTTACAGTATGCAATAATTTTTTATTTTTTTTAAGAACTCTTGTATCCTTTTGCAAAGACATGTTGCTGGCTAAAGATCTCATAGAATTACTTTATATTACAGGAATGCAGAGAATTGAAGCACCAACATGGAAAGAATATATCGCTATCTCAAGGATAGATGTTCTCCTTGGAATATCAACGTGATGCAAACTGCTATTGCTTGCAGCCTTTTAACAACTCTTTTTCTCACTAGACAGAAGGCGCTAATACTAAGAACTAACTTTTCCTTTCCCATCAGCTCCATGCACTAGTCTTCCTTTGGCCTGTTTAACTCATGGTATACTATTCAAATTTTCTTAGAAGTTAGGTGATGAAAACATTAAAATTCACAGTTGCAAAGTACTTGCATGTGGAATGCAATATAATGCTCAAGCACTAATGTACAAGTATATTACAACTAGAACACTGCATAGCAGTGCATTAGGCCTATTTCAACCAACAGAACTTATTCATTCTGATGATATACAAGTAAGTCACATTCCTGCAAACCAAAAAGCCTTTACATCATACAACCAAATAAGCAATAAATTACAAAAGAAATGTTCTAAGAGCACACCAGTACCTGTTACTAAAGTCTTGACTTCCCTGCCCTTATGCAGCCATGTTCTCAATGAACAGTAGCAATATTTTAACACCATTTTAAATTTCAAGTAAATCAATGTTCTAGCCATAACATATGGTAATATGTATAAATACATTATAACAAAAATGACTTGCATACATATTGATTTCTTACAAAAGTTTACCTTGCTCCGATACTAACGAATCTAATTACATAAATTCATGGCTGAGGAGGGCCTCATAAAATACAATGCTCAAGAATAGAATCTGTTATCTCAATTAATGAGAAACATCATCAATAGAATGCAGAGAGCAGCATAAATTTAAATTATATACAATTTTTGTATTGACGGACACTTCGATTATTAATGTTATACATTTCAGGATTGAAATCCTGATAACAAATTCTCCAGTCGGCAATGGCAATTCTTCATGTGTTCCATATTCCTACACAGAAAACACCAACCGGTAATTCCATCCGGGCACCCTGTGAACAATTAAAAAACTATATTGAAAGAAAAAAAAGGAGAAGAAAAAAGTTTCAATGAAGTGTGATCGAAACATTTCAAAACAGATAAGGACATAACTTATCAGAACATAGTCAGTCTTTAAGCCAGTGGTATTTGAACACTTCTCTATCACACAACTAGAATTTTGCTTTTGAGGGTGTGGTGTTTTAACTCTTTTCTTGCAGGTGATCAAATTGATTGTGAATACATATCATGACTTCACAATACCAGGAAACCTCAGGTTTAGTGCCTAGAGTCACTTATTTCAGTATTGGACTTTTCAGTCATGATTGATCTCATTTTTTAATTTTAGTTAGTTTCCTTGGATATTCAAAATTCCATTTTGTAATCAGACCATTACAAGAAACGCAAAGATGTATATTTCTGCTGCTGTAATGAATCATGTCATTTACATGTTTATAGAATGACCTTCATATTAATCCAAATTCAGTAGAAAATTCACTTCCTGCATATAAATGATTCAAATTGAAAAATTTAATTGCTGTTTTAGCTTCCCCCCTCCCCTCTATTCTATGTTATTAATAAAATAGTTTGAAGTAAAATAAAATGCATTTGAAAAAGTAATTTTTCATGTTCAATTTTATGCATGTAATGGAGGTTTTAGATTATTTTTTTTCCTCAGCAAAAACAATTTCCAAAAGTTAATGTCTACAATTTACACAGCTTGCAACATGCTGTTACATGCAAATATTCCAACATTTGCCGCAACACAAAATTCCATAAAATCAGCCACTGACCTATAACCTCACTACCTCTACCCACAATTAACAATAACTTTCATCATTTTTTAAAAAAAAATTATAAATTTTGGAAAATAATTTTGACATTCTTACTAATATATCCTTAAAAACAGTTAATTACTTGTGATTATTCAATTGCCGATTCAAAAATAATAATTGTCAGTTACGAGCAATTGTTCAAAAGGTAAATGTGAAGGTCATTTCTTTATTTGATATTTTAAAGCAACATTCAAAATATCCCCAATACTTTTTGTATGTATCAGGACTGATTATATAAAAATTTCAATCACTTACAAAAGGGAATTTTATTTCACCTTCATTAACTTATCAACATATATATCAAGCTGATTACCAGCCATTACGCAGGTAATGAACACAATACAATAAACAGTCTTATCTGCTCTTATTCTGCCATACCCAGCAACAATGCTTCCTGTACACCTTGCAGGTTGCATTTAGCTATTTAAAAAAAAGGTATTGTTAAATTGCAACCTTCCATACCTATAATATTTTTTCTTGGCAGTTTAAATTTTATACAATACTTTAGATGAAACGTTTCAGTGGAACCAAAGTTTTTTTTGGAATACTAAAAGTATCATGATACTCACTAACAAACAATTAACAAGGTAATATTCTTGGATTGAAACATAACTGCCCCTGACATAAATCAGCTATCGCGATTTCATTCAATCATGAGGTTGAACATCACCATAGTGACATGTAAGCTCCCGAATGGATCCTTAACAATCATGACCTGCCCATTGCAGCTATAAACCAAAATATAATTGGTAGGCAAACTAATTTCCAGGCACATGTAATTTCTTAAATGAGTGGGTTGCGCACCAAACTAGCCTGTTTTCTAAATAATTACTTCAATTCAAGAGCTTTGATGTGATTGGCATGAATGAGACTGTAAGTGGATGATATTTTTGATGCAGAAATTTATCTTTACAACTATGATACCTACAGCATAGAATGCAATATTTCTATGTTCTCTTAAGCAATGAAGGAAATTTGGTGTTCTAGTAGCTGTTCAACTAGCTAAGTATTACAGTACAATTATAAAGCAAATGACTTCTGATAATGAATATACTTTTGTTTTGATTAATATTAATAATAATATTTATTGAGTCACATATACTATTTCAATTGTGCATGGCGAGTCAAATATGCAGGTGCACATGTCGTCCTGAACCTCAGATTTCCTACTTTCTCTTACTGCACACTATTATGAGTAAAGGTAAAAAGCAGCATTTTAATATATGAACATAAAGGTTCGCTTCTATGTGAAAGAACTGCAAGCGACATTCAATTTTGATTTCAAATACATTGCTAACATCCCTCCACTCCTCATGTCTAACAAAAGGGAGCTGAAGCAGACTTGGGCAGAGTGAAATTACATTTACTGTCCAGAAATCAGAGCAAGGGGGCCATCCCAGCCTTTGCTCAAAGGATCAAGCTTTAAAATAAAATCAATATTATTACTGCTGGTTCTTTTTCTCCATATTCACCATACGATACACCCACGCTTAGAAAAGAAATTTAATATTTAATCAAACGCCATCAATTCAATACATTTATTTTGAAAGGTTATTTTAGAGAATAATGTTAATACCACAAATTGCTGAATGGGAATATCCTTGAACGTTCACAGCTTGCAAAGTCTATCAAATATTTCAATTTAATTCACATAAATAATTATGTTAATAGGCATAGAAAGACTCAATTTAACTCTTCTGCGATGATTCTAGTTGCTCCATTATGAGATCTAACTTAATAACTGCTTGTGATTCTTATCATCCAGCACCTGAGTGCACAGTTTCTTTGAATACAATAAATATTAGTATATTGACTGTGCATGATTTCTTGGGAGGGAATTTTAATGAAATGTCATTATTTTTCTTCTCACTTTAGAACAATGGCATTTAGTATAGAAATTAATTTTATGTTATGACAAACAGATATGGCTCATTTTTATTTGGATTGTTTTCCTTTTTTCTTCAATTTCGGCTAAGTCATTTTTTACCTTTTGACATACTTTTTAATGCATTTTTCGCTGTTCATTGATTTTAATATCATTTTAATGGTACTTGCTTTGAACATTATTTACGATACTCAACTTATGTTCACCAGAAAATTCTTCAGTAGTTTATTCGATTTCTTTGCTCATATATTATAATGTCAAGCGTTGTGAGAACTAAGTAATCTACGGTTCCTGTGATGCCTATCAGCCCTATTGATAGTTTGGCAGATTTAACGATAAACAACGGCAGAGATTTCCTTGTAAAGAACAAATCCAAACCAAACGTTAGGAAGCAGAGTTCACTTGAACAAAAGGAAGAAGCCTTGATTACATCAGTAACTTATCCAACAGCTTGAGTTCATCTAAAGTGGTTTTGATCAAATCTTTATAAGTCTTTTTCTTTGTTTTAGGGCATTTAAAAAACATTCTATTGATCATTTTTGACAATGTTTTAGGTCATCAAAATTCTCTAGCAATTACAAATATTTTCACTTAGCTGGCTACATTATTAATAATGATATGACCACTTTATTGGGATGACAGTTTTCCCTAAAATTTTACTTCAAGCATCTAATTTTTTTATGATAAATTGTATAAAGTAATAGATAAAAAATCCTTCCTAAAATAATTGTCCTTCTCGCATCTTATTCACCATGGAGAGAAGTTATTGATAAAGTCTAAAGCTCACAACAATTATAAAAAGTTCCATTTATATGCTGATTACACTAAGGTTTCAGATATGCAAAGGTGTAAAAAAGAAAGCTAATGAAGACAAAATGAATATATATAAATGCAAACGAGCGAAATAGGAAATATAATATTAAACTGTTTCAGAAATTTGTAAATAATTCATAAGAGGCAGGTGGATGCCTAATTAGACATATTAAGGAAAAGAATTCGCAGATTAACCCTCAAAATATTGTTAATATTTGCCTCAAATTTTGAGGGTGCATAGATCTGATCAGATTGAATTGTTGATTGCTCTAGATCTAGATGTTATTAAGTACAACATTGAAATTTGATACCTGTCTGTATCTCAGAAGAATGTGTTCTTCAGAGTAGCTAGGGCTAGTACTAATTTCCTATCTTCGTTTATGGAATGAAGTTATTTCTTTGTAAAAGTGAATTCCTACTCTTTGGTGACTTGAAAACATACAGTTTAGTATCAGGATTGAATGTGAGTATTGAGTTACATTAAATATAAATATTGTAGTTTCCTGATGTGAAAATAATTATCTATCCTGAAATATTAATACACATAAGACCATAAAATTTGTGAGATCACAAATCAAATTCACTTTAATTACAAAGTTGAAAATCAGGATTAGAAATGATGGATCATTTTAAAGATCTTTCTTTTTGATGCAAAATTGCAATTTGAACTACACAGTGAAAACTGTCTCATCCAAAACTAACTGAATACGGAGTTCTAGACGACATAGCCACCAAATGTCAAACTCTTCACATGTTTCGAATGCTTTATTTAAAACTTATCTGATCTAAGCTTTTATATTTATCTCTCACAAACGATTCTAAAAGCAATGAACATTATTTTATTAATTTTATTATTACGGGAAGGTGTAGAGGTGTGAAAATGTCAGTACGAATTCACGCTTGCCCATCTCCATTGCATTTCATGCCTCTCCATAATTTTCTTTTTCTTTTTTTTCTTCTCTCCTCTTTTCATTTTGTTAAGTTTTGCACAGTTAAGAATCAGAATTTTCATAAGATTTTTTTCTTTCCATTCATCAAGAATAACACAGATTGACTGTTGCAGAGAGAGTTCAGTTTTTTGAAGAGGACTTCCATCATTGGTGATAGCAGGGTGGTGATGACAACATAGAAGTAGAGGATGTTTTCATGCACCATCACCTGTGAACAAGCTAACAGGTAAAGACAGTGATGATAAGGACACAGGTCTGCTGGATAATTTGAGTGGCAATCAATTGGTAGTAAGGTATACATATAAGCAATAAATACCAATGCTTGCAGATTTACAAGAAGCCTGGAAGGAACAGAATTTAGAAGAGACCTTGCCATCACACCCTTACAAGATATAAAGCAGCTGTCATTGCTCTGGGTCTAAGAGCTCTGTCATCGAAGTGATCAATAGGAGGTTTGGACAATATTGATACAATCAAGCTGATCATTACTTGGGGAAGTGGAAATTAAAAA